CCGTAGTCGAGTGGTTTGCACGCCGGTATCTAGGTCCTGGGTACAGTTGCGGGCTTTAGTTGCTCATCTTGGCATCTGAGCAATGTATGTGATATTGGCCAAGATTTATTTATCGACTAATCGCTCTTGTGACGTATTTTAAAAGTTCCATAGCCCAAGGGACCGTATTACTAAGACTCCGCTATCTATCCGTGTCTGTCACCAAGCTGTATTTCATGAACCGTGATAATATACAGTTGAATTTTCATAGATGATGTTTTTTATTGCTGCTCTAAGAACAAATAAAGTTATTATTTAAGGGGGCTCCCAAACAACAAACATGTTTTATGCAGTTTATACATATAATGGTTAAACCTTCGTGCGCAAATCCGACTATTGACACCGCAATCCGACATTGCATCTCAAGTATGTATAACTTGTGAGCGTTTAAGTACCAATTCAAATTAATATATTTTTAATCAATTTTATTAAAAGTATTTTTAATATTAAAAACATTTATGTTTTGTAATAATTGAGATATCGTTAAATGGTTGTATTTTAGTTACGCAAACACAATTTTACATAACATATTCTCTGATGCGTAAATCATGTTTCAACAGCTGAATCGTATCAGGTTGAACTTTTCTTGAATTTTTCCATTTCAAAGATAGTCATTTTCATCACAAATATTTCAGTATATACTACAACTTTTTTACAAATAAATTAAAGGTTTAACTTGTCTAGGACCATGACAAATGTTTTAAATAAACAAAAACAAAAAATCACACAATAACCTGCCCATGAACTTCGAAAACTTCAAATGTGTGTTGAAATATACGTACCGGTATTAGGTGTGAAGGTTAGATTGTTTTTTACTACCACCAATAGTTATAACATGATTCTATAGCTGTTTGCTCCCCAGCTGTTATGCAACTCACAATTTCTTCACACCAAACGCAAGCGGATCACACCAGTTTAATTCGGTTTATTTACGACTTGTATATGAAATATGACATTTTTTTTTCTTTGATTATAAATTAAGCAAAGATTAATCCATAATTTGAATTATAGTATACGAAAACTTGCTTTGAATTAAAAAATATACCTAAGCGCTTCTAATATGCTTATTAATTAGTACTAGTTACCCGCTGCTTAGTTCGTGTGTTCAAATCTCATATTATTTGTTTGTGATCAAAGAGAAATACTTCATAAGAAAAGTAAGACACAAAACACATTTCCCAGTGTCCTATTTATTATATATTGTATTGTGCCCAAATTTTACAGATATTTTATTAGATTTTTTTTTATTTCCATAATAATAAACAGATAAAAAGGTATTTTTGTATTTTATCAATTTCGCGTTTACAATGCTATATTGGTAAATAACTTCAGTAAAAAATGTTTACAAATTGGACAGTCCCAGGGCACCCCGAGGTAGAACTCAAACTCACTTTTAATTTTCAGTTAATAAACCTAATTAGTTAATTTTCAGGTAATATTTCTAAAGTAGTACTTAGTACATAACTAAATTATGGAATTTATGGAAATAATTATAAGTCATACTAAAAGTTAAAAATATCCGTTTATTTATGATGGCTGTAGGCAGACTAACCCTAAACGAAGTAATAACTTGTTGAAATTTGGTTATTTGTCAACGAAAACCAACAATTAACAATTCAAAAAAAAATATGAAAGTTTTTGAAGTGCTACATGAAGACCTATAAATTAAGAAACATTGAAATGAAATATATGTGGTTCGAAATTTTTGACGAAAAAAAAAACGCTCCTGTATTTTTTTACTTATTTTGAATTAAGTATTATGCACCCTGGAGAAGACATACCACCAGAGTAGAAACTATCCCAGTTACAAGAACAACTTTGAAGTACTGGCTAAGAAAATTTTACATGGAATTTTTTTGGGAATCTGTGTTTCTGGGCAAAATTATACTGGAAAATTAGTAATTGATAGAACTACTGGATGACTACTACTGGCCTCGTTATAATCCCTTCTTCACATCTCATCTTTTTACTATAATGCCAAAAAGACAAGTTTGTGCGTACTAGATCATATGTAAAATAAAAATTATATAGTTTCTATAAAGGCATATGAAAATTAAAAAATATTAGATAATAAAATAATACAATACGTTAAATTTTTATGTACATTTTTTATTTAAGTAAAATCTTAAATAAAAAATTGTTTATGCAAAAATTTTACCGATTATATCGTTCTTTACAAGACAATCGAAAAGGTCCCACGTAAATCCATTTAATATAACCGGGATCCGAGATACTTACATTTTTATATCTAAATGACATCATTATATAATGACAGGTGCCTATAAGCAAGGCAAGGTAAACCTTATATTATAATTTGACTGAAAAATATACCTACTTCTTTTATCTGAAGTTGAGGTTTATGATTCATACACAAAGGTACTTGTTTTACCTCTTAACAAATAAAACAAATAAACAAATTCAAATGGGCCGATTAATAACAATTTTCACTACATATTTTATAAATTAGTCACATACACACAACTTTAACTATACCGTTTAACATGACTCAAACGGAGAAGAAGACAGGGTTCAAAAACATTGTTTTTCCTGTTCATAATTTATTCTAATGCACTGTATTTAGAAAGGAAATACTACTATTGCTTTGTAGATTCCCATAAAGAGGTTCGTTGTACTATTTGCTGTTAAGCTATCGTAACTGAAATGGTTTGGTTTGCTGACGATTTGATTTTTACGTTATTATCCACACTATTTATACTTTGATTACAAAGTATTTGTACATAGTACAAAACAAAGTCATTCGTACGCTGTAATCTTTTAAACTACACAACATATTTTAATGCGTTTTTCTTCTATGTACAGAATATTTCAAGGGGAAAATTTATAAGTACGTATAATACAGGACCACGCGGACGAAGCAACTGGCGGAAAGCTAGTAAAAAAAAAATAATGGGAGATTATTCTTGCGTCCTTCTTTCACGTCGCATTTAAGCACCGTTATTTAACAAAATTTCGTATGGAGGTGTCATAGGTTTATTAACTCGCAAAAATGCATATTATTCTCATCCGAAGAATCTTTACTAGCCGGTTGGAATTAACCTAAAAAATATCACCCCATCGCGTCCACCATCTATTTTATGGACAATTAATTTACAGATTTCGTACATGAAGATGATGCTTCTTCTTCTGCAGAATCTTTAGCTTAAAGATTGCATCCAGTACGCTTTTTCGTTAAAAAAAACTACATAACATCCGCCCAGTTGCACAACGTTTATTAAGTCGTAATTAAATACTTTAAGCTCAAATGAAAATTCTTAATTTCAAAATTCATATCGGGCGTTTTAAGCCCATGACAATTTTAATGGACATTTATTCCACTGGCAGATAGAGTTTCAGACAAGTAAAACCTACTTTAAAAGCCAATAAAGTTTTTGTTCCATTCTAGCTCTATATGAGTGACAGCCTTGCGTTCGATGCAAGCTACGATGGCTGTGGATTCGAACCCTGGCCTATTTTATAAAAACACACAGTGTTCTATTAGGTATAATAATTTTAATTGGGTTTCTATATTGTTCAATCGCATGTACTGAACAAAAGGTGGGTTTCTCCGTACGCCTGTTATTATTAACCGATATTTTCGCTTGAACCAAATTACCTATTCAATCTTTGAAATTTGATTGCTGAAATAAATGTACCTCTAGCAAATTTGTTTAATCGAAATGACTATTTAAATATGTTGGTATTAAGTCATTAATAAAATATATATAAATAGATTAGTACTAAAAATAAATGTCAAACTGTCATGATGAATAGATGCCGTATTCTTATATTAATATCCTCGTTTCATAATGGATTTTCTAATTAGGAACAAATCGTTTGTCACTTAAATTACATCACTTGTTTTTTTGATTGCGAAAATTGCGGAGAAAACAAGTCGTTGTTTTACCACTGGCTAATGTGTGTATACAGATCGACTGCCGCTGATATAATATCTCATTAACAGCATATTATATCCCAATTTAGGTTAGTTAAAAAAAATACTAATTTATAAACAATATATGCAGCATAATTGACATATCTATAATTTATTATGGATTGCGGAACAGCGTTGATAGTTTCTTATTTATTGCCTTTAACGTGTACTTAATAATGAGGTTGTAGAAACGTGATGTTCATTTGTTTACCTATAAGTGGCTAATTCGGTATTAATAGGTAAAAAATATACTTATTACGTCACGCCGTCATCTCACGTCTCTTCACGGATGATTTTTACATGCAAATTAAATTCGACAAATGAGTATTTATTGTTGTCTTGCACGTACAACGACGACGGGACGACGCAAATCAATTTACCACCTATCAAAATCAATAAAAAAATGAAAACTCAGAAGAATCTCTAAATATATATCGAATGCTGTATAAATATTACCGATCATTTTATTAAAATATTTTCACCAATCACAGATCGACTACTCGAAGTATTCAGTGTTATTGAAATAGGTTTTTATGTTTCACACCACTCGCAGGTGAATAATACACGAACAAAAGAACCAAACATACGCGTAGAGCGTCACTTTCCTCATTGACATATCAATATGGTACGTTCGAGTGTAAAAATTTCAACACAACTACTTATAAGAAAAGACAAACTGAGTTGTGTCGTGACTCTGTACATTAACTAAACACAGGCTGTATATTTACAAATACCGTCGAAGCTGTTAACCTTAACAGTACAACATCGTGCGCGGTGTAGGTAATCGGCAAATAAGTAATTCAACGCGTAACAACGAACGGGTATCCGCAGGACGCCAACGCAATTATCTGCTAAAAGTTACCTTGGCGCCGAGCGCGATACAGCGCAGGCGGTTTCGGGCGCCAAGAAGTTTCGGACCTTTTGGAAAGTCACCCCGAAAACGTACTTAACGCCTTCCAAATTTGAAACTCGCAAACGCAGAAACATTCGCAATAGCTATTTAAAAAAGAGAAAACACAAAATCACTCACCTGTTTAAATACTTTATATTTCCAGACGTCGGATTCCTGGTCGGTGTCTCGTGTCAAGAGAGTAGTCCGGTTTTGCATTCACGTACCGCGACGCACGATCACACTGCGTGAGAGAAAGGGCGCGCAACTCACAAAGTGAACACTGTCGCGTGTTAAACCTCAGCGGTCTGTTGCGAGAGTGGGCGTCACTACGTGTCGGCGGTCGCGGGTCTCAGCTTGGACTGAAGGCCGCGAGGCGCGGGGGCACTTTATGACGGCAGCGCACCCCGCCGGCAACGCCGTCATTGCGCCCGCGCACCCACCACCTGAAGCCGCTCATCTTTAGGGGTGAAGGGTTGCTATCGACTAACCCCTACAAATTATAAAATTATTTCAAATCCCCATAAAGACTTTAAAGTTCAGCATAGGTTTAGCACATTATTTACCTATTATATTTACTATAATCTTCACTTTCTACTTTAAAGAAAAAAAATATAGAAATAAGAAAAAAACACAAAGAACGCCTTCATACTTTTAATATAATGAAAATAAATTATGTCCCTGGAACAGTATAGATTTGAAATAATGGGGATAGGGACATCATCTACCTTTTTAAAATGTACGCCAAAACAAACTGAATAAAAAGAAAAATTATTAACCGTAATGCCTGCACTATTGTAATCTCATTTGCTTTCTTGTTTTGTTATTGTAATGATTAATTGTCACGTTAATTATTGAAAGAGGAAAATTTTCATTATGCCTTTTGTAATAGTATTTTTTCAATAATCATTTCCTTTTAAACCTTGTTTTGGTTTTTCAAATATTTACATTCAGTGTTATTGAATAGTGTTGCTGGCCTTTTTAATGATAAGTATTTTCAATAAATATAAAAAGTAAATCAACTAAAAAGGTCGGCAACATTCCTGCGTAGTTTAAGAATGATCTGCATTCAATCATAAATCTAGAAAACGTAAATTCAAGTAGGTAGTAAACACCTAATTAATATCTGTAACCTTTTTTGCGTCATAGCCATTCACGCAGCAGAAGACTGAATAAGATTATTTGATTAGTCTTTCAAAGAGAAAATTCTCCAAAGAGACAACCTGTAAGAAAAACTACGCAAGGAGAATATGATGTCAACTAACTTTGTCAAACTGCAGAAATCTCTTAAAAAATATACAATAAGAAGAGATTATATGACAGATACTATAATATTTTTCTATACTGCAAAAAAAGAAAAGGTATAAAAAATATTAAATTAATAAATATAAGACAACATCACATACGTTGCTCTGATCCCAAATAAAGCTATTAAATAAAATAGTAGGTCAAATGTGATTTCATATTAAAACAAAATAACATCTTCATCATCAGCAATTTCAACTGCATCTTAGTGCGAAAAAAAACTAGACTAATTGCGATACGCAATACTAGACTTTTAAGTAGCATATTTTCATTATAAGTAAGTACTTATAATGAAAATATGCTACTTAAAAGTCTCTTAAAAAATATACAAGACAAGTTCATAACGTTAATGGTAAAGTTACCATTAACGTTATGAACTTGTCTTGCATAAAATTATTTGTTTAAAAAGCCTGCTTTCTATTCCATTTTTAAATACAATCATAATTATAAAATAACCAATGATGTGTATGATGAACCAGGGAGAGCCCTAATTTAAAACTTAAGATGCACTAACAAAAAAAAGTATAGGCTTAAAGAAATAAGTTGTGCTCCTTGATTCCGTTAAAAAATGTCTCACAATTTAGATTGCCGGGAAGAAATCGCTACCCACCGATGTGTCTCCATTATACTACCCACCACCAACTTTATGATTTTGTTACGTCGCATTTTGCGCTCAGCATTCGCTCCTTAATTTATAGATATGGTCCAAAAGTGCCACCGAGTCATTTCATATTTGAATATAAAATAAAAATATTTATTTTATACTATTTTTAGTATTTGTTGATAAAGCGGCAATAGTAACAGATCATCTGTAAAAAAAATATGAGATACACGGTCAGTTAGACAAACGTCCATTAAAAATCGGTCTATTAAAAATATTACATAAAATTCTCATGTTACTACGGAACGTAGAAAGTTGAAATTTGGAATGAAAACTCCTCAGGAAGTGTAAAGGAGCACTAAGAAAGGATTTTTGAAAATTCCACCCGAAGGGGCTAAATTAGGGGATGAAAGTTTGTATGAAACTTCGTTACTTCAAGTGCTAGGAGTTTGAAATTTTGCATGCGGATTTTTTTATGACGTAGGTGCTCACTAATATAGGATTTTATTAAATTCGAACCCTAAGGGGGTAAATTAGGGGATAAATTAGGAATTTTCTCATTTCTGGACTTAAAATTAAACCACGCGGGCGGAGTCGCGGGCAAAAGCTAGTGTGATATAAAATAAATTTGATTCTTAACTATGACATGATAACGATGGGAATTGTCTGAAAATAGCAGTACCTACTTAATAGTACAAGGTTTTTCCATATTAAATAATAATTATAAGAACTGAATATATCAAAATGATTGTTTTTGTCGAATAAGGAAGTAAATATTGACATAATTCGACGTATACGCTAACTAACAGCTGTATATATAACATATCCGTTGTAACTGATCTATTTCATCAACGTAGGTAAATTAGCAATAAATTAAAATAATAACCCAGGTCGAGACCATAATTTCCATACAATCATTTACAATTAGTTCGGATTATACACATCCAATTTACCTAAATCTACTGTTATTTTCTGTTCATATCTCTAGGACGGGTCGTGTTTGAATGTTTGGTACAATAATTAAAGCAATATAGGTATTTTTAGGTAGGAAAGAAAAGTTTAATTATTATATTACAAAAAATTTAAGGCATTCTTAAAGAAATTCTGTATTAAAAAATAAAGACATATAAAAGATAATAACAATAAGTATATCTATTCTAATAGTATAAAGAAGTAAAGTTTCCTTACTTAATTGATGTACTTATACATAAGACGATCAAAAGTCATTTTTCCCATCATAATTTTTCAAGAGAACATTCTGATATACCATTAATTTCGACTTAAATTAATTATGTTATGCTCCAAGTAGCATCGGTACAACATGAACTTGACTTTAATAGCAAAACGTGACGAACACGTGTCAACCACTATTCATTCAACAATAAAGGACTCTGCTAATTTACCATATACTATAATGACCGGTGTGACACAAAGATGCGAATTATACAGCAGTTATACTGTGGGAAATTTCCGGATATATGAACATTGTTGACGACGATGGCGTGCCTCTTCGTTGTCGCCTATTTGCATAGTAGATTAAAATTAGTACATTTTTCAATGAGGTTTTATCTGAAAGTATATAATTCACGGTCTTCCATTTGTTTAGATGCCATCTTATGTTTGGGATTGTTTTATAGTTTGTTTCGATCTAGTAGAATGTTTTTTTATCTTAAAAGTAATAATTAGTACTACGCGCGAAAGTAAACCTATAAAAATATATTATTAAAATATATCGACTTCATAAAAAGGCAAGAAACTTCTACTAAAGATGGCGGTTTAATTTATTTTTAATAAAGTTCTCGATATTTCAGCACTGTTACAAGCGGCATGATCACGATGTTAATAGCCATAGAGTTTAAAACAATAGTATAATTATATTCCGCCATTTTATGGTAACATCTTGGATATGGAATAAAATTAAATACACATTCTAATTTTGTCGTCTTGAATAAAGCTTTGTACCAAATATCAAGTCAATAAATCATAAGGAAGAAGGTAAAATTTCGATTAATAGATTTGCCCACAATATAACCATTTAGCAATAGAACTGTCTCATATTACGTAACATGCTACACAACGTATCATTTCGAACATTTCGTAGCCTGCTACGAGTTCAACTTGTAATCGTAGCAAATGAAAATTACTCAAATTATGATATCATGGATATTATAACATGCATCCTGTTCTTATTCATGATTTCCTGTACTTCATTATAAATACACCAGTAGCTTTGTTTTATCTTTAAAAGCTTTAAAGATAAAATAAAGCTATTTAATTTGCAGTGTATGTATATTGTTATATAATATATGTTCCACAAATTTTGCATATTAATGTTAAAGTAGTAATATGAATATTGCGTACGAGTTCAGTTTAGAATTTAGATAATAACCCAAGGTTAGCAAATTACATCATTTTAAATATAATGAAGCGGACGCACAACATGGCGGTCTAGTTGTTTTCCGTACATTGTCATGATATAGAGAGAGTTTGATAATAAAAAGAGGAAAAAAAAAGTTTCATTCTAAATCTAATATGTCGGACCACAGTGAACGCTTAAATGATTACGATAAATAAATTGATTTAATTCTAAAGTCAATATGGCGGACACAGAGAAAAAAAGCTTATGTGCCAAGATCGATAGTCACTATATAGAGATATCTCCCAGACAACCTTTATATGAGGAGATGAATTTGACTACATATTATATTTTATCACTAAAAGAGCTTATTCAGTTCACGATTTAACACTTAACACACACAAATTTCACTCCTAATTTGGATGTGAAATTTGTGTGTGTTAAGTGTTAAATAACTAAATTAAGATAAAAACCAAAAGTAAAGAAAATGAAATATAAAAGCGTACTGCTGTTAAATTTCTATATATACCTTAAAACTTATTAAAAACTATCTATCATTAAAAGCACCGCATTTATCGCTAAACAACATGTCATTAGTTTTTTTTTTTTATACGCAACGGCAATTGATGTGAATTAAGATTTATTAACTGTTCTGTGTTATTCTTTGTTACTACAGATGAAACAGATCATTTACTTACATCCAAGTAAAATCGATTTATCTGTAAACCGTGGAGTTAAGTTTTACACTTTTACAGTACTTGTACATTCGGAAGGGTCTTCTCAGTGGCTGGTTATCCGGCCAGCACAATAATAAGACGAATAGCAAAGATTCTATAGACATTTTGTGCTTCTTAGAAAGTAGCTTCCACTTTCAAAATTATTTGTAATAATGACGTGTGAAGTGTGAACTGCTTAATACCAGTTAATTTA